GGGAGAGATTGTGTGTGTGTGTGTGTGTGTGTGTGTGTGTGTGTGTTCAACTCGACATGTCGCCCTGGGAGAGATTGTGTGTGTGTGTGTGTTCAACTCGACAGTCTCAATTTGTCGCCCTCGGTAGAGTGCCGTGGCATCACAGTTCCTCTAACTCCTGGGCTTAGGCGATTCTCTTGCCTCAGCCTTACGAGTAGCTGTGTCTACAGGCGCTCCATTACTTCCTTTCATCTTTATAGATAGGCATTTAGCGTTGTAAGGTGAGTAACTGTTTATTCCTGTTTAAAGATTAGGCAACACAGGCTCAAAGTGCAGAATTCGCTTGCGCACGGCTGAGCCATAGTCAAGCCGGAATTAAATGCCAAGTTTGCGCTTTTTTTTTTCTTTTGAGACAGAATGTCACCATGTCGCCCTCAGTAGAGCGCTATGGCATCACAGTTCACAGCAACCTCCAATTCTTGCGCTTCAGGGATTCTCTTGCCTCAGCCTCCCAAGTAGCTGAGGGACTACAGGCGCCCGCCAGAACGCCCGGCTATTTTTTTGTTGCAGTTGTCATTGTTGTTTTAGCTGGCCCTGGGCCGGGTTCGAACCAGTCAGCCTTGGCGTATGTGGCTGGCGCCGTAACTACTGCTCTACGGGCGCTGGAGCTCCTTCCTGGAGCTTTTGGCTAATCACCCCTGATGGTTTTCTTTCACTTATTTACTACACATCACTGTGTGTCAGGCCTTAGTAGACATTGGGGAAACAGGAACAGTTCATGGTACCTGTTCATGGATTCCTTGGAAAAAGGAAGCAGGGAATAAGCAGGAAAAATGCAGAGTATGATGCTAAGAAGAAAATAAACAGGATGCTGAGATGAGAAAATAACTGTGAGAACTGCTTCCTACTACATGATCAGGATGATAGAGTCAAATGGAGAAACGGAGAGAGGTCCCACCAAATCAGATGTCCCACCTAGGAAATGTGAATGGGCCAACTCTCATCCTTCCGACAGATGTCCTACCCAGGAAAAGTAATGTACCAACCCCCAACCTTCTGACTTTTAAAACCCCCATTCACCGTTACCCACTTTCTGATTTCCTTCTAGAACTCAGCTCTCCCTCACTGGGGTGGAAATAAAAGCCAATGTTGCCCACACAGAACCTGGATTCCGTTTTCCTTCCGTTTCACATCTTGGAATGATTTTTATTTTGCTCTTTGACCTCTCACAGGGAAGGTCTCTTAGGAAGTAATTTTTAAGCTAAGATCTCCTGAGCAATGGGAAGGAGATGGCTTTTGGAAATCCGAGGAGGAGATTTCTGGGCAGATGATACAACAGGTGGGAAAGTTTTAAGATGGAAATAAATATGTCCAGGCATCAGCAGGAAGGTCTTTGTAGCTGGAGGAGAGAAAGTAGAAGGATGAGGTTGGAGAGGTGCCCAAGGTCTCCATCATATATATGGACTTAGGAGGTCATGGTGAGTACTTTGAATTTTATTCTAAGCTATTGAAAAGTTTTAAACTAAAGAGTGATGTGGTTAAATTTATGTTTTAAAAGATCATATTGCTTGGCTCAACACCCACCTCAGTAGCTCAGTGGTTAGAGCGCCAGCCGCATACACCAGGGCTGACGGGTAGCATCCTGGCCCGGGCCTACTAAACAACAATAACAACTATAACAAAAAAATAGTCCGGTGTTGTGGCAGGTCCCTGTAGTCCCAGCTGAGGCAAGAGGATCGCTTAAGCCCAAGAGTTTGAGGTTGCTGTGAGCTGTGATGTCGTGGCACCTACCGAAGGTGACATAGTAAGACTGTCTCAAAAAAAAAAGATGGAAGATTCCTAGGTGGAGGAGAACTGTGCTTCACTGACCTGAATAGCCACTATGCTACCTAATAGAAATGATCTAGCAGTAAACTTTGGGAGAAAATTTATAAATGACATTATCCATAATAGTTAGGAAATAGAAGTACCTTGGATTTATTCATTCAGTAAGAATTTATCAATTTCCTAACTATGCCAGCCATTGCGCTATACAACAGAGAGGAAGAAAGGACAAGGTCTCTGCACTAAGGCAGCTCAGAGTCTACTTATTGGTGCATTTTTCCTTTCCCTCTACGTTTTAGAAAGAGACTTACTCTCCCCTCCCAACGCAGCCTAATTTATATTCATCTTCAACCTCTTTTTTTTTTTTTTTTTTTTTTGAGACAGAGTCTCAGTATGTCGCCCTAGGTGGAGTACATTTGCATCATAGATCACAGCAACCTCCAACTTTTGGGCTTAAGTGGTTCTCTTGCCTCACCTCCCACTACAGGTGCCCGCTACAACGCCCAGCTATTTCGTTGTTGTTGTAGTAGTTGTCAGGGTTGTTTAGCAAGCCTGGGTGGAGTTTGAACCCGCCAGCCTCCGTGTAGGTGGCTGGCACCCTAGCTGCTGAGCTATGGGTGCCAAGCCTTCAACCTCATTCTTAATAGTGTGTTTTCAGGAGAGCATGGTGGCTCAGGCCTGCAATCCTAGCACTTTGGGAGGCTGAAGCAGGAACATTGCTTGAGCTTGGGAGTTTGAGATGAGCCTGAACAAGTGAAACCCTTACAAAAATTTTGAAAAATTGGCCAGTTGTAGTGGCTTGTGCCTGTAGACCCAGCTGCTTGGGGGCTGAGGCAAGAAGATTGCTTGAACCCAAGATTTTGAGGTTATGGTGGCTGTGTACATGCCATTGTACTCTAGCCTGGGCAACAAAATGATATGCTGCTCCCCCAGAAAGCATATGTTTTCCAAAAGACATGCCTAATCCTTGCTTTCCTTTTCCAATCTAAATAAGATTCTTTCATAATCTCATAATTTCCCTGTACTTAACAGTTTTTATGTATTCATTTCTTTATTCTTTTTTCTTTCTTTTTTTCTTTTTTCTTTTTTTTTTTGAGACAAAGCCTCAAGCTGTCCCCCTGAGTAGAGTGCTGTGGCATCACAGCTCACAGCAACCTCCAACTCCTGGGCTCAAGCGAGTCTCCTGCCTCAGCCTCCCAAGTAGCTGGGACCATAGACGCCTACCACAATGCCCGGGTACTTTTTTGGTTATAGCCGTCATTGTTGTTTGGTGGGCCTGGGCTGGATTTGAACCTGCCACCTTGGGTGTACATGGCTGGCACCTTAGCCACTTTAGCCACAGGCGTTGAGCCCATTTCTTTATGCTTTAATGTCCTCTCCCGTGAAACTATAAATCTCAACAAGGGAAAGAATCTTTTTTTGGGGGGGGGGCTGGGGCTTTGTTTGAACCCACCACCATTGGCATATGGGACTGACGCCCTACCCTTTTGAGCCACGGGCACTGCACAAGGGAAAGAATCTTATCTGCCTTACTGTTTGTATCTCCAATACTCAGCACATTATAGGTTTTTTTTGTTTGTTTGTTTTTTGAGACAGAGCCTCAAGCTGTCCCCCTGGGTAGAGTGCCATGGCATCACGCTCACAGCAACCTCCAACTCCTGGGCTCAAGCGAGTCTTCT